CCCCCAAAACCCCAAAACCCCAAAACCCCTGAAGAATCCAGTTACATTGAAATAACTTTATTTATAAATAACTTATCTTTTTCTTTTGTAAAACATTCACTATGTTAGCTGCATAATCATAGAACTTCTTGACTTTATTAGGAAAGCCAGGGTATTTATAATGCTTGGTACTATTCGTCCTCCTCTTAATATACATGACATCTATTCCATTCGGAGAAATAACGAACCTCGAGTACTGAGACATTGATCATTCAATGTTGTTTTCTGCTGACCCGGATATAGCAATTACATGGCTATTAAAATTAGGGACTTTTGAAGTGAGCATCAGAATCGTTCCATCTTTCTGGAGCTCAAATTTAATTTTATTGCTTTGATGCTCAAAAGGAGGAAGCCCACTTGTATCAATAATTCCATTTGGTGTATCTTTCATCGGTCTAGTTGAACGAGCCATGAATTCTTCTTGTGCTGATTCTAATGTGTCTAATAATATTTTAGAAAACTACTTTGAGATTTATTGACTTGAATATAACAAGTTAAATACTTTAACAATTTATAGTTTAAAGAGAACTCAAAGCACAGATAGATTATTTTCTGGAACCATGAAAGTTTGCAACAAAATTTTATAAAAACATACCTTTCCTCCCCTCTAAATTAGGGTGAATATTCTGACTTTCATGAAGAATGCTTTGCTCTTCCTCGGTTGGCTCTTCTTTAATCGGATCTAAAATTAATATGGTATCATATTCAAAAAGAGGGTTTTAAGGATTATATTTGAATAATAAGCAGCCAATTTACATTGACAATTCTGCATTTTGGCAAGTTTTCTTAGTTCTATACAATTATTAATACGAATAAGTTTACTTTTATTAGCCTTGGTTGCTTTAGAGTGCTTGAATTTAGGAGTAGATTTACATTTGATTGCCTTCCTTTCTTCATTAGCATCATCTATATTGGTATTTAAAAGTACTTTTATCCTCCTCTTCAGGATATCTGGGAGTTTCTGTATTGATAGGTGTTATATAAGTGTTAATATCTTCTTGCACTTGGTCTAAGGTTATTAAATCTTCTTTCAAGGTTTGTGAAGGTTGTCTTTCTATTTTAGAAGAATCTTCATCTTCCAAGAAAGGATGGCATAAGATTTCTTCAATTGTAAGTCTTTGTGAAATATCAACTTTGAGAATTTTTGATATCAAATCTTGAGCATTTGAAGATAAATACTTCGGCAAAATATATTGTTCCTTTAAAATATTTCTGAAAGTTTTATTTAGTATGATTTGACTCGAAAGGGCCTTTTCCAGTTAGCATGATGTATAAGATACAGCCAATGCTCCATACATCTCAAGTATGATCATAATCTGATTTCCTCGCTAACACCTCAGGCGAAATATAATTAGGCGTTCCTAAATAAGACTTTCTCCTCTCTCCAGGCTTAGTCAACTGTGCAGCGCATCCAAAATCTCCAATCTTCAATACATCATCATCAGTAATAAACAAATTACCAGGCTTAAAATCCCTATGAAGGACCAAATTATCCTTCAAAAACTTAGCCCCTTTGACAATCTGGCTAAAATAAAACCTAGCTTTGTCCTCCCCCATCTTGCCCTCTTCCTTCAGCTTATTTAGACAAATCGCCCTTGTGACACAACTCTCAGATCAAGAACACATTCTTATCATCCTCAAAACAATGGATCAGTTTGACAATATTCACTCAAGCGTCCGCATTCTGGGACAGGCTCTTCCAAATTACTATTTCGTCTTTCAACCGCTCGAATTCGACCTTGCTACTGTTTTTCTTTTGAAAGGATTTTTCGATCTATTAAATTTATTGGTTGGGATTATAACTTGAAGATAGATGGATTGAAAATTATCTTACAACTTTGAGTGCGTAGTCTTTTCCGTTGTTCCGATATTGAACTTTCCATACATCTCCTTGACTACCCTTGCCTAATTTTTCCTTCATATAATAGGCTGTAATGTCAGTGCTAAATTGTTGCGGGGATTCCATTTGCGCCAATTTATTATTTCAAATTTATATATATTGGATGGGGTTTTGGGGTTTTGGGGTTTTGGGG